TCATCTTTCCTCAGATTTGACTTCTGGGATATAACAGGTCAAAGGGGACCTGTAGGACATTTCATTCAAGTATGGCATTTCACACACAGGAAAATGATATGGACCAACGCCTAAGATCATGGGCTTCCTTCGATATTGTTTTTGACAATGCTTAAACCAGATGAACTTAGACCATCTAATAATATCAGTTATTCGTATGGTCAAATTGAGAATAGTAATAAATAAGGTAGAATATTCTATTGCATTCACATAAACATTACAGAATGTTTTTTTCTCTTTGAAAAGAGAAAAAAACATTTGCCGAACCCATCTGGAGGGGGTGTTTACTTTTAGCTAAAGCCTTTATGTTTTTCCAGATAATAAATTACATTTTGGAATACAGCGCAGATCCAGTATTGGCGTGATCACATACTGTACATATAAATACAATTCTCAGGCCAACTGAAATCTTCCTTAGCTCTAGCTTCTCCGAATAACTAAAGAACGCCACCCTTTTCTCCTTGGGCCTTTAAACGTTTCCCAACCCCAGTGGAAATACGTAATACGCCGTTGTTTAGACGACCCCTTAGATATCCGAGTTACCCTCATCGGATCAAAGACCAGCAAATGTGCTATCGATTGTCGGTGACGTTCATAAGACAAAATCTGTTTTCATTGATGTTTTTGGCTCTTGTGTATTTTCAGCTGATAAGGATAATGACAACTTCTACGCCAACCGGCGGCATATGGTCGAGATGGCGACCAAGGGCGGCCTCCCTATGCACCCGATACACCGTGCGGAGCAGGAGCCCAGCAACCCCTACAGCCCACCGTTGCAGCCCTGCCTGAAGCAGAACGGACAGAAGTCCAAGAGCACCAAGGGCCACGGCGGCCACAGTAGCAGCTCCCATAACCTGTCGTATGGCTCCAACACCATCGCCAACCCCGGGGTGCAGAAAAACTGGGACGGCACAGAGACGATGGGCCGCCGGCAGAAAAAACAATGCACAATAGAGCAGGTGAACGAGATGCACGGCGGTGCGCGTGCTCAGCACTACCAGCCCACGCAGCCCTACTTTGTTACCAACAGCAAGACCGAAGTGACTGTCTGATCTGGGAGCCCTCCGCCGTAACGACGATAACCCCAGCTGCGAGAACGAAATAGTCAGACGAGGACATGACAGACAGAAGGGGTCGACCCGCTCTAGAGGCTGACGACGGACAGCGGTGTTTGGTTCGACGGGTCCTCGTATGTGTCCGTTAATGCGTGTGACTGACTGCGTGCGACAGGCATGTTTGGGAGTCATAAAATGCTCAAAATGAGATATGGCAAACCGTCAAGGTCTGTATGGGTCATCGCGGTATTGACAGTTATATTGCAAATAATATTAGTCAATCATATACTTCAAGTCAGACAAAACATGTGAATGAGCAGAGCATAGCAATGCCAGACCTCAAATGGTTGGATGAGGCAAGAAACTTGAGCAATGCATTGGAAGACGCTGGAACTTTGCAAACTTTGTCAGTATCAACTAAAATCTCAAAGGGCCTGAATTTGTATCAAATGCGTGATGTTGAATTCACATTATGTTAGCCGACACTGTAGATGTAGATGTACAACCGAGTTAAGCAATAGGTTTGGCTGAAGGGCGAAATCGAGCTTCAGTGGAGGGCCATACAGATTGCTTCATCCATACAGTATCTTGATCAAAAGAAAGTTGTGTGCAATATGAATTGCAGGTATTTGTAAATGTTTGTGTACATTATTTCTACATAATTTTTTTATCTAGTTTTAGAAAAAGTAATTGACCATGTTTTCAAGATTACTGTATGAACAATAGGTACTTACAGTAAAGTAATTAAATGGTCATAGAATATGTTAAAAACCATACACCAACATCCAAATAGTGTAAAAAAAAAAAAGAGTATTACAAATAGCCTGCTGATTGGCTAAGTCATTGTTCCCTAGGACTTCTGATTGGCCATTTCATCATCCATATTCATTTGTATCTTATATATCTTCGGTGTTTAAGTGTTGTTTTTACTCAAATATATGCTCTGTCTACATCAGTATAGGACAAAGTTATTATTTGTGTACGAGTTACCACAATGTTCGCTTTTAACCGGGACATTTTGACTGGCCAGTAACTCTAAAAGTATCCTGAAGTGTGTGTGATTTTTCTTCCGCAGGTCAAATTATATTGGCCTCTTCCTTCTCCTTTAGGAGTAGAGAAGATCATGAACAGAGGTACATTCACACTCAACAATACTTAAACATTTCTCCTTGTGATATATCTACACACTGTCTGGGAGACTTTGTAATAGTCGTGCACTTGGAGCCACGGGTCACTTATACAGCTACGTCCATAGAGAAGCAGAGGCCATTTTAATGTCTGGATGCATGTGCGATATACTAGCCCACAGAGAATTCTGCAGCCACAACCTCACGCACATCCTTTTCACTCGCTGATGTTACCACTTCCTAATCTCGTCTCCAGGCTTAGGCACACGGCGCTCCGAATAAGACCGAGATATCAGTGTTTCAAAGCCGGCCTTTGTAGGAGTGACCGTACCATTTCATGGGAGTGACAAGAGTGACCTTCCCGAATAAAGAATCTGTCGTCATTTAATTTGTGCAGATCACAGAACAAATGTATGTAGAGGACTCGGGGACAGTTTGTGGAAAGATGCTGCAGGAGATGATTTTCTGGTAGTCTAAGCTGATTAAGCCAATACCTAAGTGCTGGGAGTTTCTAGCAGTCATTCGATTTGCTAACAAAGGCCGAGTTTGACACATTGCTCTAACAGACGGAAGTGTCTGGGAACAAGATTAGGGCTGTTTCTTACTCTTACAGATTCAATATGTTTAAATCTAGGAGTTTGTCTTTGTGTGGAATGAACATCGATGAAATGTCTCCATTACATTTCAACAGCTGTCAGTTAAGAATAATGATTAATATCGTTATTTGTTTCCATTCGGCAATGCTTTATGTGATTCAATATACCATGGTACTTTTGAACAATCTTATAGCATTTGCAGAATACATGTAATTCAAATGCCAATAAATGAGTGATTATATTGCCTATACATCATCACCATCAGCTAATGTATTTGTTTTGGAATAATTTTAGGGCGCTCATTTCCCTGCCTTTGTCAATACCAGTAAATTGTCCTAGGGCATTACAATAGCTTCGTGCTTAGGGTGTTGTGAGAGTAATGTACTACTGAGAGTTCCTCTGTGGGTAAATATCGAAGGATATAGGATTTAATAAATTTAGTGTCAGATCAAGACCTCGATGAAGATAGAGAGGGTCTTCACCCTGAACGTCTGTGACACTGCATGCCCAAGTCGCACTTCAAGTATCTGTAAAAGTGAAATTGCAATACATTATGTACTAAAACATGTCATTTCCTTTTCTTTTTTATATTTTTTTAAATATCATTTTCGAGTGGTTGCAAGAAAACATATTGTACATATAAACGAATAAAATCTGTTCATTTTGAATCGTTGGAGTAGACGACCGAAAAGTATGCGAGTGCCACTGCCTCTATTTTCTCCAGTGGGCAAGTTGTGCGTCATCAGATGGGAAAATAGATTTTTTTTTCTACCGAAGATCCATTCTGCAAAGCCCACATGAGCGGCATTGTGCGCTAGCACATTGTGATGCATGACACGCTTACAAATAAATGCATTTTAAATAAAGGGCTTCTGATGCAATTTGCCATGTGTTGCGTTTATCCCTGCCAACCGATTCAAGTGCAGCCCACACTTTGTCCACATGTCTTGATCACGCCTCTCAAGTTTCCTTGGCTTCCCTGTATGCATTGCTCTGGCAGCCGGAGACAAAATGTCTCTAATGGTTGCAGGAGTTACAGCCAGAATCTAGTCATTCTTTCACTCAGCACATGTGGTGCAATAGGAATTGAGACCAGCTCTGGCACACTCTTAACTTGGGATGTATCCCTGTGATTTACCTAAAAGGCTCAGACTTGTTTTCATCTCTGTAGGCTGGCACCTGCATCTCACTGTTAGGTGAAAGGTCAGCCAAGCTTTAACAGTTGCTAACTGTAAACATAAATCTTCTAACAATAAAAATGATATTCTGCTCTTCACGAGAGCACACGTTGTTCCCCCTAGCCCTATCTAAGTCATGTATTGAAATATGCAATCGTTAAAAGAAGAACGTTATTTGTTTCTGGACATTTTCAACACATAAACGCAGATGCTCAAGATACTAACTAGTCCAAAAAAAGGCAGTTTATATGATTCTTTTATCAGCATAAAACTTAGATCCGTTTTCGCCTGTGCTAAACTAATTGCAAAAAGTTTTTCTCATGATCAATTAGTCTTTTAAAATATATACTTGGATAAGGAAAACAAAATGTATATGTTTATTACTTAAAAAAGTAATTTGATCAAAACATCAGTTGAGGGTCAATAACGACATAATACCTTATTTAGTAATTCTGAAAATACAATGGACCCCTTGTGATTGTATGCAATCAAAACACAAAAATATATGCACGAACATAATTAAGATTGCTAATAATTCCTGAAAATACTGTAGATGTACTGTAGATAACTGTAATTTGAAAACACTTTATTGCTTCCAAAAAACATTGTATAGCTAGCCATGGTAATATTTAGCATTAAAATGTGATAGTACTTCCTTTATTTCCCAGAACTACCACACTTATTAGCCAGCTAACAAATGTTAGCCAGTAGCTACCTAATACTAGTTAGCAGGCCAACACAACAAGGCTGTCATTAATGAGAAAACATTTTAACTTAAATATTCACCGTTCTCAAATAAAAAGTTTACTCAATCCTTTTTTATTCATTTTTTTTAACTGTTCCAGCTCCAGTCATTTTACAGTAGTTGCAGCTAAACAACTACTTTTGTATCAAGAAAATAGAATATATTATTCACTGTGACAATGTTAAGTAGTACAGGTAAAATTGACGTCCACACGAATGCCTGGACACAGAGTTTCCCAGCAGAATATCACTCTCGGCGGAGTTGGTGTAGTTTAATGGTGGAGTGCATGCTTTGTATGTATAATGTCCTGAGTTCAATCCCCAGCTTCTCCCCAGGTTGCCATGGAAAAAGAGAATTTGTTCTCAATCCGCCTACCAGGTTGAATAACAGAATTTCAAAAACCACACTCTCTTCGGCTTGTCATCTTCCCCGGTGCCATTACATCTTCAGGTAAACGGCGCACTTGTAGACGGCGGTCCTCTTGATGCTAAAGAAAATGGGACTTATTGGACCAGACAACCATCGTCAACTGCTCAAAGGTCCAGTTCTGATGTTTCTGTGCACTTTGAATGGTGGAATGGGGTCATCATGGGCTCTCTGTGGCTATGCAGTCCCATACACAGCAGGGTGTGATGCACTGTGCGTTGGGACGCATTCTTCCCCGTAACCATCATTGACAGTTCGTCTGACGTGTGCCACATTACATATTGTTGGTTCACAACTGATAGGATAGCCTGTGTTGCCTTTACATCGATGGCCTTGCCGTTTTAGAGAAACTGCTAGCTTGACGTTTAGCTAGTTTTCAGCGATCAATACGACCTAATCTCTTGCTTCAGCTTTGGCTAAATAAAGACGTGGAATTGATTCTGTGGCCACTGGCAGATCATTTTTCCGGGTGTGTTACAATGTCTTGGGATATTTGGTGCTGGTGCTTAGTGTGAGTGACTACTTGTTAACGAACTTGAACTTGAGTAGTCTAGCATAGCATAATGAGGCAATTTTCAAAGAAAAGCTATTCATGTATTTGTAATTGGGTGCCATCATGCTGCACAGGACACCCAGTGACTGTTAGCGGTTAGCGGTTAACTGCTAGCGGTTAGTGTCAGTATCTTTTTCGACTGTTAACGGATTTCGACGTAAGGAAACAAAATTACTATTTCAAAAAGTAGAAATGATAGTTATGCCTTAATCTCATGTATGCTGTATGAGGCTCACTGTCCCTGTCAAGTGGCCACACAGTTATTTCAATGCCCTGAGTGGTTGCGTTTCAAGACAATCTGAAAAATCCTGTTTTAGCTGTCGGTTCTCATGAAATGAAAACGGCTCACGAACCATTATATGGTCTCAGCAAGACCAAAGGAGCTGAGCATAATCCTGTCTGCTCATCTGATGACTCATTTCAGAACAAAACTTCAGTGTCCCCAGAACTATATTATATCACAACTCAATATAGCCATGCATTTAAGCAACATTTTAGAGTTTCGCACTTTTCTATGTCATCACTTTTGTTTACAGATCTTTTCGTCTTAGTTAGTAATCTTTCATTTGCAAATGTGTCACGTATTGGGTGAGCTGTGCTGTACACAGGGTGGTTAGGGAGTGCACTTCTGTGTATTGTTGTAATTAGGAGCACAGCTGTTTTGAGTTCAGCTAAGCACCGGGCATAGGTTAGTTAATCAGTGGGCTATTTAAGGTCCCTGGTTAGGTTCACGGGTGCTGGTTATTAATATAATGTTACATAGGTTAGTTAATCAGTGGGCTATTTAAGGTCCCTGGTTAGGTTCACGGGTGCTGGTTATTAATATAATGTTACATAGGTTAGTTAATCAGTGGGCTATTTAAGGTCCCTGGTTAGGTTCACGGGTGCTGGTTATTAATATAATGTTACATAGGTTAGTTAATCAGTGGGCTATTTAAGGTCCCTGGTTAGGTTCACTGGTGCTGGTTATTAATATAATGTTACATAGGTTAGTTAATCAGTGGGCTATTTAAGGTCCCTGGTTAGGTTCACGGGTGCTGGTTATTAATATAATGTTACATAGGTTAGTTAATCAGTGGGCTATTTAAGGTCCCTGGTTAGTTTCACTGGTGCTTGTTATTAATATAATGTTACATAGGTTAGTTAATCAGTGGGCTATTTAAGGTCCCTGGGTTCACTGGTGCTGGTTATTAAGATTATCTTACATGTCCATGTAGGTGAGTGTTGGTTGGTTTGTTTGTTGTTTAAGTCACTTTGTGTAACCACACTTTTATTTACGTTACAGTGTTTCTTTAGTTTCCGTTCGTGTGTCTGTCGGTTTTATTTTACAATAAATCTCTGCGAACTTTCTCTGCTCTGCATCTCGCTCTCTCTCCCACTACACCATGAGGATATCGTGAAAAAATGTGTGTAGGTGAAAGATGATTTCATTGCGAGTAGTTCCCCAACAGGTTTTGAGGAAAGTAAATTGAATTAAAACAATATAAATTACTCTTATTATGTTAAACCAATTCATCAGTTAGCTACAGGCAAAGAACTGTGTACTAGCTAATTAAACTGCAGGTCTCTCTACAAATATGGTTTTCAAGGAAGAAAGAAACCCAGTGAGACATTGTATATCAACAACGTGATAGACTTTTTAAATTTGGGAGGTGTTTCAGGAAGCATTGGGTGAAATTTCAGCAAATGGTGGATCAATATTTGAAGGACACACAGATCATTTCAATATTATTATATTATTTAACTAATTAGCATTATATTTTACTTTGTCAATGACAATATAAGTCATGCAATTAGAGTCAATTGGAAGTGTAGCTGTGGTTGTATTTCAAGGCCTTCGAACTCACTGCCTCTTCGCTTGAGAGAATAAAATAAATAAATGAAAAATGAGAAAATAATAAATAAAAATCAGCCAAGGTCTCAGAGGAAACAATTGCGCCGATCAATCATATCAAGGAGGGTGGCAGGAAAGCTTTTACATAAAAAGTAACATCGGAAAAGATGACTTCCTCTTTAAATTCAAAACTCAAAAGCGCTATGTGTAACACAACCCAATCACGGACCTGGTGCCTCCACACGCACAATCCTTACAGTAAAGTATGGTGCTGACAGCATCATGCTGTGTTAATGCGTTTCATCAGCATGAACTGAGCATCTGGATAAAACTGAGGGAATTATGGATGGAACAAAACACAAGGGAACAAAATAACCTGCTTCTGTCCTCTAAAAAGGTTTGAGGAAACAACTTTTAGCAGGACAATAATTCTAAGCACAAGACAGAAGCATTTGTCTGTCCTACTGTGGTCTGCTGTAGCCTTGGTGAAGACCTGATTTCCTCAGGGGTTCTGAATGGTCGTGTTTCTCGAACATTGTGTCGTTTTGGTGGGCTCTGTAGGCTCCAAAAGGGCTACGTCCTAGTCAAATTATGATTTATGACCATGTACTTGGGATACCAGCTGTTTAAATGTGTAATGTTTTAGCCCTAGCTGCATGTCTGTGTGAGGAGGAAATTTGAAATGTTCATGTTTTCCCTGTCAGTTATACTAAGAAACAACCTTTTAATTAATGTGACAAATCCAAATAGAAGCGCTGTACTCGTGAAACTGTCAAATGTATTCTTTGGAGTTATTATAATCAAAACTGGCATCCCCACATCCAAGGAAAGCGCTCATGTAGTGATTAAAAACATGAACTACTTCTTTTTCTTAATATTTGAATTGGACCGCCTCTGTAATTGTAGCCTTTGCTCGAAAAAGCATTCGTCATTACAAATGATTGCTTTTTAATGCAACAACTTGCCCACGGATTAATCCCCAAAGCAGTTTCGCACAAGAAACATAATTGAAACGATATTGGCCAATGTAGTTGGATATTTTGGAAACCTTCCCAAAGACATTATCATCCGTTTGAATATAATCCTCTGGTGCGAATATGCTCCAGCTTGCTTCATCAGAATCGCACCAATGGCCCTAGAGAAAGTTATAAGCCTTCAGCGTCCGCTGATATAATCCTGAGCCAATGGTGTTCGCGGGGTAATTTATGTCAAACAACACACGAAGGTATGTGGCTAAAAAGCCACATTTCGGTCTCATCGGACCATAGAATCTTCCTCCCCTTTTTGTCAGCTTCTCCCGAATGCCTGTGATTTTAATGTGTTTTTATCTGTTAGCCACTCTTTCATGAAAGCTTTGTGAGACACCCAAGCTAACCATCTCCCAGCTTAGCTGTGAATGACACAGCTAAACTCTAAACTCCTTTAGAGTTGCCATGGGCCTCCTGCTGGCTCTCGCTTGCTCTTCTCGCCCTGATAATCTGTTTTCCAGACAGTTTCTCTCCGTTTCTTAATGATGGACTTCACTATGCTCCAGGGGATATTCTATGCCCTGGAAATGTTCTTATTTGCTATCCCAAATTGGTGCTATTGAATAACCTTATACCGGATTTTTCAATTAATGTTTCTTTGATTTTGAGATACATTTTTTGAGTAATTGTTTAATAAACTGCAGAACCTCCCAGAGATAGGTGAATTTAACCTGATATTATGTGAAACACCTTAATGCACGAAGGTGGACTCCAGTCAACTTTTAATGGGACTTATAAATTGGTCGCACCACAGCTCATTGAATTGCAAAAAGTGTCAATTGCTTTGCAATCAGTTGTTTTTACGTTTCATATTTGTACTTTTTTTCACTTTTAACATAATGTCCTTAAATGTTGAAAAACAAATATATCATGTTGTAACACAATTTTTATGTTGAAATATAATAGGCAGAATACAGGTACAGTGAAGAATAATTACTTAATGAATAGAAAGAAGACAACAACAGCACAGGGTTAGAAACGGATCAGAATCCAAAATACTGACCAAAGAATATACCCCAGGCAGGTAGGAACTTATCTGGAGACAGGGATAAAGAACAGACAAGTTCAATAACATCAAACAGCTTGTCTGTGCTCCGAATCGAGGAGTTTGATCTCTGCCTTGCAGGTCATGAAAACGACAAAAACTGAAAAATTCCAAGGAAGTGAAAACTTTTGAGTAAGTGTGTTAGCTTTCAATAATGTTAAACAATGCTGTATTTACCTTCAATGTAGTCTTTCGTTTCCATCTAATGGTGCGGTCTTTCACCGCTGAGGTCCATATGGTCCCAGACCTAAAGTAGTAGTTCTGAGAAGACAGTGTCGAACAGTGCTGAAATCCACAAACAGTATTCTTGCATTTGCAAGCAATCATAAATGTCACAAACCTCACCGCATTGGCACCTCTCCCCATGTAATTGGGCACCTCAACCCTGACCACTGGCACCATAAACCTACACAAGAAAAACAGATTTTCCTCCTGGACCCATAAGG